AGCACAGATACTATTTGAAAAGCTCCCGGAGGTACTTTTCCTACATTTACTCACAAATGCGCACATGTGCATGCACGCGGGAACACACACACACACACACACACACACACACACGATTATAATCTCTCAATATAATTCAAAAAAATTTACCTTTATGGGCTATTAATTTGCTAGCTGTACAGGTTCTAATGCTTTACAATTAAATGACAGGGAAATACCATAGCAACTTTCATTCTCCAAGCCAAACCTTTGTTTTTCTTTGATGCTAAGAATGTTTACACAAAATCCTTTATGAGATATAAGTAGGTAGAGTTACATTCCAAGTCATACACAAGGAGCTACTTTCTGATTGGTTTTCCCATGAACTCCCAAAAAGATGTTCATCATCTTCAAAAAGAGAAAAATCAACATAGCACTGGCCTGGCAAGAGCTAGGTCCTGAGTTCGATTGCCAGTACAAAAAAAAAGAAAAAAAAAAAAAAAAAAAAAAAAAAAAAAAAAAAAAAAAAAAAAAAAATACTCCCAAAAAAAAAAAAAAAAAAAAAAGTACTCCATTGTATGAAAAAGAAAAAGCCTAAGGGGAGGTGAAGGTAATTTTAAGTACATAATGGGCTGGGCATGTGACTCTGTGATAAAGAGTCTGGGTTCAACCTCCAGCACTGCTAAATACATAAGTAAATAAATATACAGGAGATACAACCAAAGACCTACAAGGTAAAATCAGGTTTATTACCTAAAATATAGAATCCACCAAAGAAATGTATATATACTTTAAGGGTTCACTGTACAAAGGTCTAGAAGTGCATGGCCACCACTCCCAGGTTAAGGTTACATTAACCTTATGATAAATTTAATATTAAAATATTTGCACAAGTTTTTCCTTCCCTGGTGTGTACTTTTTTGCCAGACTAGATTTTGGAATTTAAGTTCCTTAATGCTGTTAAGTTTTCTTGTAAGAAGCACATCAACATACAGTACTATTCTGCCTCTAAAAGAACATAGATACATGTAATCATCCAGCATAAAATGGACTTACAAAAAAGGGGGCTAGGATGCAGCACAATGCAAAGGACCTGACATCAATCCCCAACACCAACACCACTCAAAAAAAAAAAAAAAAAAGATATGTGTGTGTGTGTGTGTGTGTGTGTGTGTGTAGAACCATCCTTTTGCATAGTTATAGCAATCTCTTAAACCCATTTTACAGAAAAGGAATGAAACAACTCACCTAACGGCAATCTATTACTGGTAAAGTTTCTAACTCCAATCACATGACATCACATCCCAGGCAGGCTTTTCATACCACACTGCTCTCCATGTCACAACCCAAAGTCAGAAAACTATCCTGTCTGCCCAATTTGCACAGATTACCCATACTGTAAGAACAAGTGTCAGCCATGAATGATACCATGTGTCATAATCATAAAAGGGAAAGAAATTCAGCCTTTGCTCTGAGAAGACTAGCATTCTGTTCAGTACCCATTCTATACTTTGCTGATGTAGATCACCCAACAGCCTTTCAGGTAAGTGTAGGTATTTCCATCATGTATACCTCAGTAAACAGGTCCACAGAAGCCTACCAATTTAACTAAGATCACACACTGGGGCTGAGGATATAGCTCAACCAAACAGTGCCTGCCTGGCAAGCATGAGGCTGGGAGTTCAATTCCCCATACCAAAAATAAATAAATTAATTAATTAAGATCACATATTACATGACAACGATTTTAACCATATATCAACTACACTACATTGCTTTTCATTATATCATAGTGATGCCCTTTCCTGGGCAACAAGAAAGAAAAACACTGTTTAGTTTAAAATATTGTAGTGGTCTTTTTTTTGGGGGGGCAGGGGCTGGGAATCAAACTCAGGACCTTGCACTTGCCAGGCAGACACTTATGCCGCTGAGCTATAGCCCCGGCCCTTTAAAATACTGTTCAACATTCTCCCACTTGTTGCTGCCATAATCTCAGAAAAACACCTTTTCTCAGTCCGATTTTCTCAGCTTTACTCTTACCATCCACTGGCCTCACTGTGCCTGGAAGAGGCTAGCCACTAGACAGAACAGGGATGTAGCCTTGACTAACAGTGTCTTACATGGCCACACAACTCCTACAAATATTTTTCCCTGGGTGTAAGTCTATCAAATACTATATGGCAATCACCAGAAATGTGACCTTGCCCAAATAATTAGTAAGCAAAAAAAAAAAAAAAAAGAATAAACTATGAAAAAAACCCTATCATTTTTATCACTTGTAAGACAAAACAGAAAAACAACAAAACACACAAAGGAAATTAATTGTACTAACCATCCCAGAGTCTGATATCCCACTACACTACTGTAAATACTCTTGTCAATTATTAAACACAGCATTAACCTCAAAATATTATGTGCTTCCCCTCAGGTAGTAAGTGTTAACAAGGTGGACAGATAAGAAAAACTGTAAACATGACACTTCAGATAATTTAAACCAGAAAAGATTACTGAAGGACTTGTTAGGGAAAAAATTCAATTAGCTTTAACTAGTTAAGGTGTATTAAGATTCCCAAAGGGGGCTTCCTTATCTGAAGCAAGCAGGAGGAACTTTGTGTTAGCACAAGCTGTACTCATAATGGAAGATGAATAGCTAAAAAGGCTTTTAACCAAAATTCCATGTTCAGAGAACAAATTAAAAAAAAAAAAAAGCTATGTCTATTTGAGCCAAACTGGAGGGGCCAGTGGAAAAGACTACTGTAAGGAGTAAGCACAGGAGTGGATAAAAAGGAAACAGGAAGAACTGAGCTACTGGGGAAAAGCGGGGGGAGCAAGGGGCAGAAAAGGCTGGGATCCAGGAGGTATGGATGGAGGTCTAGAATAGTTAAGGAGGTGAATGCCTGAAAGCAGAGTCTACCTGTGCAAAGGTCATCCTCTTCTACATGCTAAAATTAAGCCAAAGGAAATGAATGGCTAAGATTATAAAAAATGGGATTCAATTTAATACAGAATAGAAGATCCTACACAAGGATAAGGGGAGTAGGGCTGTGGGTTGAGGTTATGCTCTAGGACCCAGGCCCTTGGTTTGACTGCAACACAAGCCCACACAGCCAAAAAGATAGGGAAGTAACTGAAAGAAAATGGAGATAACTTTTTAAAATGTACTAGCCTTATTATTATTGGTACTGGAAATTGAACTGAGGCCCTTGTATTTGTCAGGCAGGAATTTTTCCACTGAGCTATATCCCTGGCCCTGCATCACCATTAAATAGGTGAGTCGTATGGTATGTAACTTACATCTCAATGATCATATTATTTTTAAGTGTGCGAAACTGAGAGTAGTTGGATGATTTAATTAGCTGGGTTAGTTTAGCTGTCTGTAAGAGTACCCTAATATCCCTCCCTAAGCTGACTTGCCTTTGGGAACATCTCTGTTGGAACACATCAGTCTCAGAAGCCAGGAGTGTGTACAGAAGAAGCAGTAGGGGGGAATACTGCTTCCTCTTTAAAGAGGAGGTCTTTCTCCATTTTTGCCTTTGAAATTTATCAGATAAAAATTTTTATCTGACAGTGTGAGGGATGAAAGCTTTTGTGTGTGTGGGTCTACCTTGAAGCGGAATATCAGGTTTTTTCTGGGATGACCGGCTGCCAAACTCTAGTCAAAGAGAACACGATCTGGGGTGGAAAGGTCAGGTCAGTTCGGGAGAAATCCCAGAAGATTTATCGTGAAATGATCACACAATTCCTGTCTCTCTCCTCTCACACTGGTGACACAGACCCCGTGTCACCTCCCGCTATTACTTGCGAAGACAGATGTTTTGCAGTGATCCCAGAAGTGTCTTGACGAGCTGCCCACTTAGGCAAATTAAACAGCCATTGGGGAGCGACCTTGGTGAAAACTGGCGCCACATACAGGGCTGGGCTCCCGGTTCCCGCCACCCAGTGGAGGAAAAGGGACGGAGAGGAAAAGACAAGCGGGTACAACCGACCACTTCGCTCGCCTCCACCAAACAGGGTTTCGAGGAGCCGCCCCCTCTCCTCCCGCCCCCCACCCTGCACACCCTCCCTCGTCCAGGGCCGCGACCCCTAGGAGGAGGGGGCGGCGGCAGCGAGCGCCCCCACCGGCGAGACGCGCAGCTCCCCCGCGACAGTTTTCGTCGCCGCCGCCGCCGCCGCCGGGTCGGGGCCTCCCGGGGAGCAATAGGCTATCGATTCTGCTGCCTGTCGCTAGGAGCCCCGGGAGAGCGAGGCCTACCCCGCCGGGCCGGAGCCCCGGCCTCGATTTCGCCACTTTCCCTATGCCGGAGGGCGAGCCTGGGGGCAACTAGGCTCTGCCGGGCAGGAGGGCGGAGAAGCGCAGACCACCTGCAACGGCGGCCCAGGAGAGGCGGGGTGAGGGCCCCAACTCCAGCCAGCGAGTCCCCGGGGGTCGCCCGGCCACCCCCGCCTCGCGAGTTGAGCGTTCAAGTTCAGGCGAGTGTCCCTCGGCCTCCGGGCCCTCGCCACCCGTCGAGGCGTAATAAAATCTAGACGCGGAAGAGGTCAGCTCGGGAGCGACGCAGGCGGCGCGACCCCGGCCCTCGGGCTCGGCCCTGTCACCGCCCGGCCCCTAGGGCCCTCTCCGGGTCACCCGCGCCCCGGGCTCGCGCTCTCCGCGCCCCGGCCTGCCCCCGCAAGCCCCCCATGCCCCCCGCACCTCGGCAAGTGCGCGGAGGAAGAGTTGCCGTCAAACTTTGCCAGGCGGCGGCCGGGGCCCTGCCCGACCCACGCTGCAGGGGGCCGGCGGCAGGAGAGCTCGCCCGGCGCCCGGGATGAGGCGAGTTACGGACCTGTCAACCATTTTGGGTCTTTTATTTTTAAACAGGAGACACCCTCCCTCCGTCTCCCGCCCGCCCGCCCCCTGCAAGGCTTTCGTTTGACACCCCATGTTCCCACCGCCGTGAGGGGCAGAGGAGGGAGGGGTGGGGACGGAGGGCGGCGAGGGAGAGCGACAGGGAGGCGGGAGGGGAGGGGGGTTGATTTACCTGAGACCAGCCACTGGCCTCCATTGTTGGAGAATTCAATGGCATTGACACAGCCGAAGTGGCCGAGGAGGTCCTTCTTGTAGAGGTTTCTGCAGCCCCGCAGGCGTCTCCTCTGAAAGTCCTGAGTGAGCAGGGGGTCCCCATGCAAGCCCCGCTGGGACAAGAAGCCCACCACTGACCTCATGCTGCCCCCCAGGCCTGCTCTCCTCTTCATGCTGGAACCGCCGCCGCCGCTCGCGCCGCCGCCCCGCCCTCGGCCCCGGCCTCGGCC